CTTCCTGCACACTCTTCCTGCACACTCTTCCTGCACACTCTTCCTGCACACTCTTCCCGCACACTCTTCCTGCACACTCTTCCCGCACACTCTTCCTGCACACCCTTCCTGCACACTCTACCTGCACACTCTTCCCGCACACTCTTCCTGCACACTCTTCCTGCACACCCTTCCTGCACACTCTACCTGCACACTCTTCCTGCACACTCTTGCTGCAAACTCCTCCTGCACACTCTTCCTGCACACTCTTCCTGCACACTCTTCCTGCACACTCTTCCTGCAAACTCCTCCTGCACACTCTTCCTGCACACTCTTCCTGCACACTCTTGCTGCACACTCTTCCTGCACACTCTTGCTGCACACTCTTCCTGCACACTCTTCCTGCACACCCTTCCTGCACACTCTTGCTGCACACTCTTCCTGCACACTCTTCCTGCACACTCTTCCTGCACACTCTTCCTGCACACTCTTGCTGCACACTCTTGCTGCACACTCTTCCTGCACACTCTTCCTGCACACTCTTCCTGCACACCCTTCCTGCACACTCTTGCTGCACACTCTTGCTGCACACTCTTCCTGCACACTCTTCCTGCAAACTCCTCCTGCACACTCTTCCTGCACACTCTTGCTGCACACTCTTCCTGCACACTCTTCCTGCACACTCTTCCTGCACACCCTTCCTGCACACTCTTGCTGCACACTCTTGCTGCACACTCTTCCTGCACACTCTTCCTGCAAACTCCTCCTGCACACTCTTCCTGCAAACTCCTCCTGCACACTCTTCCTGCACACTCTTCCTGCACACCCTTCCTGCACACTCTTCCTGCACACTCTTCCTGCACACTCTTGCTGCACACTCTTCCCGCACACTCTTCCCGCACACTCTTCCTGCACACTCTCCCTGCACACTCTACCTGCACACTCTTCCTGCACACTCTACCTGCACACTCTTCCTGCACACTCTTGCTGCACACTCTTCCTGCACACTCTTCCTGCACACTCTTCCTGCACACTCTACCTGCACACTCTTCCTGCACACTCTACCTGCACACTCTTCCTGCACACTCTTCCTGCACACTCTTCCTGCACACTCTACCTGCACACTCTTCCTGCACACTCTACCTGCACACTCTTCCTGCACACTCTTGCTGCACACCCTTCCTGCACAATCTTCCTGCACACTCTACCTGCACACTCTTCCTGCACACTCTTGCTGCACACCCTTCCTGCACAATCTTCCTGCACACTCTACCTGCACACTCTTCCTGCACACCCTTCCTGCACACTCTTCCTGCACACTCTTCCTGCACACTCTACCTGCACACTCTTCCTGCACACTCTCCCTGCACACCCTTCCTGCACACTCTACCTGCACACTCTTCCTGCACACTCTACCTGCACACTCTACCTGCACACCCTTCCTGCACACTCTACCTGCACACTCTACCTGCACACTCTACCTGCACACTCTACCTGCACACTCTTCCTGCACACTCTACCTGCACACTCTACCTGCACACTCTCCCTGCACACCCTTCCTGCACACTCTACCTGCACACTCTTCCTGCACACTCTACCTGCACACTCTACCTGCACACCCTTCCTGCACACTCTACCTGCACACTCCTCCTGCACACTCTACCTGCACACTCTACCTGCACACTCTACCTGCACACTCTACCTGCACACTCTTCCTGCACACTCTACCTGCACACTCTACCTGCACACCCTTCCTGCACACTCTTCCTGCACACTCCTCCTGCACACCCTTCCTGCACACTCTTCCTGCACACTCTACCTGCACACTCTTCCTGCAAACTCTACCTGCACACTCTTCCTGCACACTCTTCCTGCACACTCTACCTGCACACTCTTCCTGCACACTCTTCCTGCACACCCTTCCTGCACACTCTTGCTGCACACTCTTCCTGCACACTCTTCCTGCACACCCTTCCTGCACACTCTTGCTGCACACTCTTCCTGCACACTCTTCCTGCACACTCTTGCTGCACACTCTTCCTGCAAACTCCTCCTGCACACTCTTCCTGCACACTCTTCCTGCACACTCTACCTGCAAACTCCTCCTGCACACTCTTCCTGCACACTCTACCTGCACACTCTTCCTGCACACTCTTCCTGCACACCCTTCCTGCACACTCTTGCTGCACACTCTTCCTGCACACTCTTCCTGCACACCCTTCCTGCACACTCTTGCTGCACACTCTTCCTGCACACTCTTCCTGCACACTCTTGCTGCACACTCTTCCTGCAAACTCCTCCTGCACACTCTTCCTGCACACTCTTGCTGCACACTCTTCCTGCAAACTTTTCCTGCACTCTCCTCCTGCACACTCTTGCTGCACACTTTTCCTGCACTCTCCTCCTGCACACTCTTCCTGCACACTCTTGCTGCACACTCTTCCTGCACACTCTTCCTGCACACTCTTGCTGCACACTTTTCCTGCACTCTCCTCCTGCACACTCTTCCTGCACACTCTTCCTGCACACTCTTCCTGCACACTCTTGCTGCACACTCTACCTGCACACTCTTCTTGCACACTCTTCCTGCACACTCTTGCTGCACACTCTTCCTGCACACTCTTCCTGCACACTCTTCCTGCACACTCTTGCTGCACACTCTTCCTGCACACTCTTCCTGCACACTCTTCCTGCACACTCTTCCTGCACACTCTTCCTGCACACTCTTCCTGCACACCACTCTTCCTGCACACTCTTGCTGCACACTCTTCCTGCACACTCTTCCTGCACACTCTTCCTGCACACTCTTGCTGCACACTCTTCCTGCACACTCTTGCTGCACACTCTACCTGCACACTCTTCCTGCACACTCTTGCTGCACACTCTTGCTGCACATTTTTCCGGCGCGTCCCACGAAGATCTCGCGCCGTGAGGGCAGCGAGCGCTGACGCATGGAAATAATTATTATTATTCTGTTTCAGCTTGAGATGAGCATTGCCCGTGTCATGAGTTCTAATTTAATTATGCATATTACCAGCACACTGCAGTGATTACAATTACCGCGGCATGGCAGACCCATTACGCTTTCGTGTGTTTGTGCTGAAAATATATACGAGGGGCGGGCAAGGAACTTGAGACGGAGACGCTCAACTATTCCGACGACGTACTCCGAGGCTCACGTGGAATGATCGAACTTTTTATTTATGCTCAGCAAGGTTGACACCGGACAGCGCTTGGACGGGAGGTCGCATCGGAATGCCGAGTGTGGCAGACTTGGTGGCCATAACTAGGACTTGTACAGTAATGGTTTCAATCCATCTGTGTGGAGCCCGCCACCTATGCATTGTGGGTTTTCTCAGGTTTCCTCCTTTTCAACGCCAAAAAACTCATTGATGGAATTGCTCACACATCACAAATTTCGCAGGACCACCCTGAACGAGGTCCTCGCCTGCAATGGTAAAGGGGGTTATCACCCAACTGTCGTTGATTACTGCAGCGTTAGCCGTAGAGATTGCGCACTCTATCGAAGGAGGCCATGAGCACGCGTGTACTCTTCTTCGGACCTCCTGTCGCGTGCGTACACGATGCCGAGGACATTCTCGCGACCACCCACTGCACTGCGCTGCACGCACATTTCGTGTGAAGCTATCGCGTATAAAAAAGAAAAATTGGTGCCTAATTTATCACATCCACAAAATTACCGTTGACAGAGAAATTGAACAGGCCGTCCGGCCGGGCTAATTGGGCCGTTCCTGCAGGGCGACATCATCGCCAGTGACGAACGCGTCGCTGTCTCTCTCTGTCTCTCTCCGTCATCCGTCTCGTGAGAGCGTACACACACGCTGGCACCCACGGAACCACGATCGCAGCACTGTAAGGTCATCGTTCCTTAGTGATTATAAACGCAGCTAAATTAATCATGCGACACGATGATTAACAGCTGTAAAGGCAAATGCCTATTCCCCACGGGAAGGCGTTTCACAAATCTGCGGCGCGTGTGCTCTGTTCCCTTCGGAGCTCTGCGGCGTGAGCGGCGGCTGCCAGCGGGTTCGCTCTGATCGTTCTCTCCAGGCTCTGTAAGTTGTTAGGAGAGCAAGGAGGTTGTGGGCCCACTTCAGCAGCGTAGTCATCGACAGTGCAGGTGTAGTGTGGTGAAAGTGGGCTCTGTGGGGGAAATTGCATTGGGGGAGGGCCCCAATTTCATTCCCTGCACAAGGGCCCGTACCGAACGTGCTACGCCACTTAACCCATTTGTATAGTTTTTCAAGTGTTTACCTCTCGTCCATGCGATGTTTTCTCCAGATACCATACCCTGGTTTTCCACCAACTTTCAAACTGCTTGTTGAGAAATTTACCAGTTTTCAGTTTCATTTATTTGGTATAGTCCTGGTGAGGCATTCGGCTCTTGAATCGGGTGCAACCGCAACAAACAAAAAACAAAAACATGAACAAGAAAACATCTTAAAGTGACCAAACATCCCAATGCAGGATTCTCTTGAAAATGGATCATGAGGCTCGGTGAGATTATTCTGGATAAGTTAAACGCGCTGCGGATAAACTGACGCTGCCATCGCGGCTGGAATTGTGCGAGCGTTTCGAATGTCCACTCTGCCTGCATCGAGTCGGGTGACAGTTTCACCAGCCACCCAGGCCAATCACATTATCCTGTTTAATGGGGCTGTAAAGAAATGAAAGCTCATTAAGGTATTTCTATAAATAATACCAAATGCCCGCCGTTGTTATGCAACTCCTTTGCCCTGCAGCCGAGTGCTTCCACAGCTGTCCGACCGAGAACGCGTCCAGAATTAAAGTGGGCCCTGTTGTCCGCACACCGCAGACACGCGCCGTACTCTACTGCATACGCCCGAACGCGCAGAACACGACCGGACATTATTAGGCCTCTTCTTGGTTCTTTCGGTAAAGTCACGTAGAAGGGAAGTAATAAAATAATAAAAATAAAACATAATAAAATAACATAATTCTCACGACGTTTCGGCCACAACGCAAGCAGCCGTCCTTCTACGTGACTTTATCGAAAGAACCAAGAAGATGAATCCCTGCAGTCACGAAAGCTTTAAATCGAAATTATTAGGCCTCTTCCTGCAGCAGTTGCGTGGCTCATGTATCCTACAAAGATCCCCCGTGTAGCCTTTAACAGACTGTTGTGGCGAGTGCCGTTTGTGAGCGCCTGTGCAGGCCGGAAACGTCACGCGAGGGGGGTGGTGTGGCCAACACCATGCTGGGCCACTTTCTACTCCTCAGTGTCGATTTTTACGCATCAACCTAGGGGTAGTGGCCCAGGACCGGGTTTAAATATTCGCCACTGATGTTGGCCACGAGCAGGAATTGAATTCGGGTTGCTGGGTTCGTAGCGCAGTGCACTGCAGTGCGCTAACCACTGCACTACCGCTCCCTGTATAAATTATACTCACACACAGGCACGATGTTTAGACGGCCGTTGTATGTCATCTGCCGCTTTTGACACGTTTCACATGAATTGTACACCTGCAATTAATTAATTCTCTACCGACTCTTTTCTCCCTCCGAATGTGCTCTGCGTCTACCACACTGTGCGTACACGTGCGTGCTTGCTCACACACAAAGTTGCACCGTGTAGCCTACTTTACTTTTCTCTCAGAGCAATTGGTGTTAGTGAGCACCTCTTCAGGCAATAATGGTGCACAAAGTGGTGGTGTGGCCAGCGCTATGGCTGGGCTAGTTTTCTCTCCCCAAGAGTAATGGCTACACACTGCACCAGGGACGTATTCGAGTCTGAGTTGGCTTAGGGAATGCCCTGGACTATTTCACTTACACCGTAATTCACCAATGATATCGGCCATGGTAAGGAATCAAACACCGATGGTGCGGTTCGCAGCGCAGCGCGCTAACCATCGCACCACCACTCCTGTACACTTTTCAAAACGTACGCTCACACACGTGCAAATGACAGAGGACGTTTCCACTTGGCAAGCCGCACCTGCGGAGTGTCGGTGCTGTGACCACGTGTTGGCTTCGCTGGAAGTGTCCCCGCTGTGAATGAAACGCGACCTTAAATGTCACGCAACATCGCTGATAAATTGTCGCCGCTTGTGGCAGGCACTGCCTTTGCAGGACGACGTCCGGGCTTGACGAAGGATATGGGACGTCGCACGTAGAATTGCGCGGGGCATTGCGCCATCGGCTCTTGCATTCGCACGATTCTGGACGCGACGTTGATGGCCCTGCTGCCCTTCCAGCTAATTGAAAGCTCAAGCTGCCGTCGCTGTAATGTGGCGAGAGTGCTTCCTGGGCCTTCTTTGCAGCCCCAACTCGGCACATCCTCGTAAGGCAACTCCGTGGGGGAATGGACGAGCGGCGTGTTTTTTTGTTTGTGACTTCTGCCGCTGATTTTAACGATTTCCAACCGAGGCTGAAAGCGTGTTGCATTAGTGGTGTCCGTCCATCGTCCACCTGTAACGGGAAAGCGCCAAAACACTCGTAAATATCAGCAAATATAAATGAAACTTTAGTCTAGAGTTGCGTTGCTCTTAGAGACTGACGATAATTGAAAACGGGGAAAATTGATAAAATTGTTGCCAAAAACTTGGAGACACAAACCAGAGCCAACGTGATTTTCGCTGACAGTTTAGGGAAAATATTCCGTACCGGTTATTAAATACTTCTGAAGAATGATAATAGGTTTTCCCCTTTTTTCTGGCAACAAAACAGTTGTGTTAAGATGTTAAAACACCAAACTGAAACTTTTTACAAGGAATCATGTCTGCATTAACCACAATGCTTGTGGTTAGAATGCAAACAAAAAACATACTCTGATAATATATGTATTGTCCTTGAAACTGATTGGTCCACACCAGAGACGGCTTTCTTTTGATCCTCGTCTCAAACGGTGTTAGACCAGAGGACGCCAAAAGGTGTACAGCTCAAAGACAAAACACTATCAGAGTAATGCGAGCTCGGGGTGAGAAAGCTGTCTGGTATGGACCAATCAGTTTCAAAGACAATGCATATATTATCAGACAAACTCACACGGGAAAGTGTTATTATATAATCTATGCTTATGCATGATATTTCGTGAATTGCTTTTTAGGGTATTTCACGCTTTCAAAGCCCAACTTTTCACGTGAATATTTTTCTTTATTTTAATTGAGTGTAATAATGGTCTCTGCATCACGGTGCCACTTCTCATGATGCAGTGTAGCAGTGACATCTGATGATTTTACTTTGTAGGTATTTTTTTATTCACTTCGAAGGGTTGGTTCGCTGCTCAATGTCTGCTCGTGGGAAACCTTTCGATGTCAATTCACAACTGTTCATTTGCCACAAATCCCAATTCTGTCTGAGCCCCATGGCATGAAGTACGATCTCCAACTACAAAGCAGTCAATCTCATTGCCCTCTATCTCTGAATCAGGGCCCTGCTATGTGTTTTACTGGTAGGAACCTCCTGGTTACACCAGCCCACAGGGGATTATTGTGTCCGTCGTGCAGAGAGGGGCTGGTGGGGAGGGAGGGGCTGGGTGGGGAGGGTGGGGAGGGGCCTGGGTGGGGAGGGTGGGGCTGGGTGGGGGGTGGGAGGGGTGGGGCTGGGTGGGGAGGGGCTGGTCACCCCGTGGTGCCCTTATAAAACTCAACGTTTAACCTACTCACGCCGGCTTGTGCCCGCTCTCACAGTCGGGCATATTTGCGGAATACACCACGCCGCTGTTGACCCTGGCCATTGACCGAGCAACCCAACGTTCCTACCAGCTCCCTCCGCAGGAATGTGTTCTGTTGTAAGGCAGTGTTAATGACGAGCATTGCGAGATTTTTGTTTATTTTCAAGGAGTGCCGAACACTGCGATGGGCGTCTGTACAAACCTGGTGGATGCACTGGACTAAGTCTGCCCGGCAGTGACAGCGAGTGGCGCTGGTGGCAACGCGGCATTGCGCGTTCGGGCTTGGCAGACCCACAGCACCGCTCGATCGCTCACCCTCCACTCGCTCACCCGCCCACCGCTCGCTCACCACCTGCTCACCACCCACTCCCTCACCACCCGCTCACCCTCCCACCGCTTACTCACCACCTGCTCACCACCCTCTCTCTCTCACCACCAGCTCGCCCTCCAATTGAGAGAATTCCCCGTAGACGCCTTACACGACACCGACACAATATTATATGCAGTGCGTGCCGTGCGTAGATTTATGGCAACACTGTAAAATTCTTAAATATTTAACAATGTTATTATGACCTAGGGAACATTTTTTAAAAATTCAATAACACTTGTACAGCAGGTGAAAATAACACCGGATTAGAAAAAAAATGTAGTCAAAAATGTTAACACGGGTAAACTAATTAGGCGAAACTCGAAGTGTGTGTATTAATTGTGTAGCCGTAATCGCTTTGGTGGGGCTGGGGAGAATTCTGTGGCGACCACGCCGGGTCCCGAGAAGCGGTTGGGTTCTTTTGGTGACCTTTAAAAACAAACCGCGGCGTCACTTCACGCGCCCGCGGGCTGCTTTTCGGGGACGGTGCCGTCAGCAGCTGTCATCGGACGGCGAGCCTCCGAGCCTGTTGGAAAGTAAATAAAATGAACCAGCAGCGTCAACAGGAGGAGGAGAGGGTGGCAAGAAGAAAACAAACCACGATTTAAAGCTTTCGTGACTGCAGGGATTCATCTTCTTGGTTCTTTCGGTAAAGTCATCGACAGACCTGTTCTTCACCTGAGGACGGCTGCTTGCGTTGTGGCCGAAGCGTCGTGAGAATTATTTTATTATGTTTTATTTTTATTATTTTACTATTTCCATTCTACGTGACTTTACCGAAAGAACCAAGAAGAAAAAAACAAACCACCCAATGCCGGAATCCGGCCTCTTCGCTCGGATCTGAGCAGAGCCTGAGTTTGGCTCGTCGGTGGCGTGGACTTGTGGAGGGGATTTTTGGGGTTGAGGGGACCCCCTTCCCTGCACCCACAACGCTCTTCAGCAACGGGCAATGAGTTCGTTCATTGATTACATCCACAATGGACAATTTAGTCCGACGGTTAACAACAAAGCACATTGTATACACGTGTCACATGTTAACAACAAAAGTGCAAAGGTTATGACAGGTCAAGCTTATCGTATATCACACGTTCTTTTTGTTGGTGTAATGTATTGATCTCGGTTGGAAAATCATCCACGGTGTTTCGACGGAGCTCGTTACAGGAATTATTGGCAGTACGGTACGCGATGCAGTATTGTCCCGTATCGCAATGTACATGTGCACAGATGTATACGGTATCTTGAATGTTAAGCCGAAGCGTACATGCGCTCGATCGACGGAGCCCTCCCTGTGTTTTGCGACGACGAGCTGCGGGTGGTGCGGTGCACAGGTCCTGAGCGAGGCTTCGTGTAATGACACGTGACCCCTGCAGGGCGACCTTGTTTAAAAGGCGGGGGTGGGTGGGGGAGGGGTCAGACATCCACTCACGCAGGGCATGACATTCAGTATGAAACTTTAAACAAATATTAAACGCGAAACAGAACGAGTAACGATGTAATCTGCCGCTGTCGACCGTGCACTCTGCTCCGGCTGTCACCTCCTCGGTCCACAAGGAAAGGCTGAGACGCCCATCGATTTATTGTGCTTTTTTTTGTTATTAGGGGCCGTCCATAAATGACGTCACGCACCTAGGGGGGTGGGTGGGGATCAGACATTTGTGACGATGTGTGACGAGGGGGGGGGGGGTGAGAAACGTCACATCAAAATGCGCAACTTTAAATAAATATAATCAACACGTTTTAATTATAGATTTGAAGTTTTCGTGACTGCAAGGATCCATAGTCTGTTTTTTTCGGTGGTCATTTTTTTAAAAAAAATTTCTACGTGACTTTACCGATAAACCCAAAGATTACAACACGTTCTACTTAATTAAATAGACTTTTTGAATAAATGTTTTCTCCTACAACATCAGAGTGCAGCGCCACATTAAATACGCACTACAATGACAATAGTTTAAAGCGATTTGAAGCATGTTTTATTTTGAGGAGGGGGGGGCAGAGCTTTGTGACGTCATATTTGAGGGGGGGGGGTCTGACTTTTTGTGACTCCGTGTGACGAGGAGGGGGGGGGAGGGTCAAAAATCGTTCAAAATTGCGTGACGTCATTTATGGACGGCCCCTTATAAGAGTTTATAAGGATGGTTAGGGTTGACCCTTCAGCAAGGAGGGGAGCGGGGGGTGGGGGCTCGACCTGCCTACAGGCCCACTGACACTGCGGGCCTCGTGACACGGGGGACGTGACGCACGCACGCCGTGGAGAGGCTGCTGCGTCCACGTCGCAGCGGGTCTGCTTCAGGACCGGAGGGAGCCTTCCTGCTGCGGTGACCTCTGCTGCGACTTTCGCCACGATGGCTTGGCGGACCTGTGTAAGTCGTGCGTCCCATTTACGTCATTGTCGCGGTCACAAGTCGAGAAGGACGGCGCGAGTGTTGCGGGTTTGTGCCGAGTCTCCCTAATGGTGCCGCCGCTGCATCTGACGCAGTCCTTTTAGGGATTCGCGCCCCTTCATGGTTGGAGTCACCGATGGCTTCACAGAGATCCACAGGCCCCAAATCTCCGTTGAAGTTGTTTCTTTGCACTTAGTGCGATATTTTTAAAATGTGAAATTCACCCACTCCCCACCCCCCCCCCCCGCCCCCCGAACGAATATATTTATTTCCCCACTCCCATTTATATTTCAACTTCGCTATCAACCTCGCGTCGTGAGATGAGCAAAAATATCTATTTGCATCTCTACAGCTAGCAATGTATCACCCTGTGCCAGAGAAGGTTGCTGTCTTTCAGGAGTCACCTCAGCAGGCCTCTTTATCCCAGGCCGACGCCCACGGTCTACAAAGAATGTCCGTTGCATGTCACCCAAACCGAAAATGTAAAGTCACAAAGCTGGAATAAGCCAATTTTAAGTGAAGAGCTAATTCAATGTGTAAATTTAAATTTCGTGCCGTCGTCGGTGACGAGAAGGGAGGACCATCAAACTCACAACTGCGGAGAAGCCGGTGTCATCGCAGGCGGCCGAAACCCGGCTTCGAATTCAGGGTCTTGGCATTGCCCTCTCAGTGCTGAGGAATTTACTGAGCCATCCGGCCAGCTCCAAGAGTGGTTCCCTGTCGATGCGTTGCAGCTAATGGTTCAGTAGCAGCGGGAATGCGCGTGATAATCTGTGCTGGCGCGGGGTTAGAGGGTGTCGCAAAAGCTTTATCGCGTTCTAAACTGGGAAACCCATCTTGTTAGTGGTTGCCGGTCAGCCTTCTGCTCGAGGTCTCTTTTAGGGAAATTAAAAGAGAGCTATCCTTTGCGTGGCATCGGCGCCACTCTGCTCCACGGTGAATTATTGATGGACTTCATCGGGCCGTTGGCACATCTCGTATATCATATTTGGCTCTTTATTTAACTGAGTAAGTTGGCTGCTGGCTAGGAAAAAAAATGACGTCGTCTCGAGCAACTGGCGGGCATTGTGTGCGCGTCTTTTCACGCTGCGGCCGAGTGGAGAATGTTAAGGAGGTGTAAGCTCATCCCGGCTGTTAATTTACAATTCAGGAGTGCCGTGTCTCTGCTGGATGTTTAGTTAGCGGCGTGGTTTTTTAATGGACGTCGGCCCCAAAAAGTGCATCAGACAAAGACAACGTTCCCCCGCGTAGCCGTACAGGCTGTTTGGGCTGGTGCTGCTCATGAGCATCAACGGAGGCTGGCAAGGCTGCATTTGTCTCCCCGGTGCTGATGATTACACCCCGCTCCCAGGTACTTCATTTAAGAATGAATCGACCTCAGGGAGGACCAGGATCGGTTCAGATATAACCACCGCTGATGTTGGCTGTGGCCGTCGGGTTCGTAGCGTGGTGCGCTCAGCGCTTCACCGCCGCTCCCCTACCGAGGCGCGCGCACACACGCACGCTCGTGTCACGTCCACACCGCTCTGTCCCACCCGCGGTGGTCAACAAGAGATAAGGTTTCAGCACCGCTCGCCGCTCGGTTTCCGTTATCGGTTAGCCAAGGCGTCGCACGACTGTTATCGGCGAGCTGGTAGCAGTGTCACGTCCCTGCCATTGTTGGTCAGCATCCATGTCATCAGTTATCAGGTCACTCAGATCTGCTACCACTGCACTCGTGAAATGTTTTTTTGGGGGGTTATCTGCATCATCGGTAGGCAACGGAGAGCGGTGCCCCTTAACCGCGGGGTAGCGAGATCCGGATCGTTGGCAGGGCAAGGACGGGGCAGATGGTTCCGCCGCTACCTTCGAAGAATGTCTGGCATTTTATTTCCATTGATGTGGAAATTGAGCCGAAAAGCTGACTGCCCAGAACAACGTGTGCCCGTGCATTCGGCTACAGTTGGACACACAGTTCAGCTTTGAGTGTTTGGAATAAAGAGGAGGGGGACACGGAGGGTTTAAAGGGAGAGGAGGTGCCTGTGAGGTTCATAGTGAAGGACGTGGAGAATAGGGGAGTGATAGTGTGGCAGTTAGCGCACTTCGCTACGAACCCGGCGACCAGAGTTCTAATCCGGCTCACAACCAACACCAGTGATGGTTATTTGTCCCGGTCCTAGGTCGACTCACCCTCAATGTGTACCGAGTACGATATGTACAGATCGCCACTAGGGAGACAAAGGGGCCGGGCGTGGTGCTGGCCGCCCACCCCCTTGTGTGCCGTGCTGGCCTTCGTCGGTGTTCACTAACAGCACTGGGCCTAACAGTCTGTCCAAGCTGTGGTGAAGAATGGGAGCAAGAGAGGAAGGCTCTGGGATGGAGACGTTGAAATCCACTGGTATAGAAGAGGGCGTCTTATCCGCGTTATCGGCGAGCAGATAAGGAGGTATCTGTGTCATTAACTTGCTCGTGTGAACACAACTGTTCTGACTGCCGCAGCCGCTACTGAGGAAGCACAGTGCTGAGAGCAGATATCGCCAGGATGCCGTTCGTGCAATACTGTGCATTAAAAGTTTGCCGCGAACGAAAGAGGCATTGTTGATACCAACAATCCGGCCTTTCAAATAATGCTCAACTCCGAACGCGAGGGCAAATTAATGGATGTACCACTTCGGGACAAGATGTCTCGTGAACAAAATGTTGTACGACTAAATATGCATATGCACTTTAGAAACATATGCTCGTGGTTTTTGGACCATCACAGTTTGCTCATTGTGAACAATACTGCATCTGCACAGCTGTGAAGCCCATTTGGGAACAGAGCACGATTATTTATTTGGAGTCATTTCAAATGAGTCCAAGACGTACGCTTCCCGTCCCGTTTGTAAATAAAAAATAATAATTCTAGGTTCATGTTACCAGTAACCCTATATAGCTAATTATAACATTGGCATGAATAACAAAGGCCTGCCAATTAAAAACGAAATCATCACGAGCCCCAGCTCTTGTATTGCGTCACACGTGTGCACAGTCGCGAACGCCAAGGGAACGGCGCCAGCCGACGTGCGTTGTTGCTGTTATTGGAAACGGCGACGACATCTCATTATAGTGCGGAGCGCAAAGCCACCATCTCCTGCGCGACGCATCTCTTCTGCGGCCGAATGGCGCGTGATGAAAGGCAAAGGCGCACACGACGACCCCGCCGCCGTTTCAGGTCTGTCGCCAGGGTGGCGAGACAGCTTCACCTCCGCCCTTGACCTCACTGACCTTCCAGACGAACCGCGGATCATTTGGGAGGCGACCCGAGTGGCACTCGACGACTGTGGTCGGTGACGCTGCGACTGCTTTAATGAGCACAGCCTTTCGAGCGCGAGCCCAAATCGACGGGCAGTGACGGTGGCGAGGTCACCGCTTCTGCGCCTCGGCAGCGAATAACAACCAGTGGCGTGCCCATGGTCGCGTGGGCCCTTGGTGCAAGGTATAAAGTGAGGAGGAGGCCCTGTCCGCCAACTCCCCCCCCCCCCTCCAGCTCGTTATCGACTGCCACCTGGGCCCCACCGGATCTTGGGGCCCCAGTGCAGTTGCACCGCTTGCACACTCGTTTGCTATGCCACTGACTTTTATCTAACCCCACCTGATCCCCTCTGAACTCAACAGGCCCCACCTGTTGACCCCCACTGGCACCGAATCACACAGGATCTAGACGAGGTCCCTTGGTAAATTTGCAGCGAACGAAACTTGTTTGGAATTACAGTATCCCATTAGCAATGTGACATTGTGTGTTGTATTTATGTTGGTGTTGCTCATTGAGATGATTAACCAACAACAATATTGTATTACCCTTTGTCAATCCATGACTGGATGAGATCCTTCCCACTCTGCTTCGAGCGTAGGGGGGTTGTTTGCACCTCCGATTAGCACGGTTGGCTACTACGTACGGTGTGAAAGAAGTTCAATGGACAGTACATAAACATATGTACGTTTGACCGTGCGTCACCATGCAAGGCGGAGTGCGGTTGGCGAAGGGGTGTTCGCCTAGGACCGGTTCAGATATCACTCGCCACCGATGTTGGTCGTGAGCAAATATGCATTATGGCTTGCACGGGTCTTGAAAACCTCACCCCTGGAACCACGTAATCATCTTGTACGTGTACTCCCCCCCCACCCCCTCCCATATATCTTTCGTTAGGCGTTTGAAATATTCAGCAGG